TCTTTTCTCAGATCATTAGTTCTGTTTATTAATTTTGACACAATAAATAATTCTCCATTTTTTTTTTTTTTTTTTTGCTTAATTTCTATGTTTATAAATTCTCAAACTTGACATACAAAAACTATAAATAATAAAATAACCGACAAAAAATATATATTTGCAAGTGATTTATGACAAAAATGTGTCATAAATATTTTGTGCAATGTTTGTATGTAAATATATTCTTATATTAAATTTATACAATAACAAAAAATAGTGTTTTAATTATTTTGTTTTTATAGTTTATTTTTTGATATTTTATTTAAAGTGTAAAAGAATTTATAGCAAATGCAGTTGACACTTGATTTGTTAACATTTGTGAATCACTTTTTGCAAGAAAGAGAGAGAGAGAGTGATAACAGATTGTTTGAAAATAAAGTCTGGGAATTTTGTTGTGATTTTTTAATTAAATTTATTTACTAAACATTTCCTAAAAAAAAGTGAAATTTATTAAAAGTTTCCTAAAAAAGGGAAATTTCTTGAAAATTTCCTAAAAAAAAGGAAATTTATGGTAAATTTCTTAAAGAAATTTATTGAAAATTTCCTAAAGAAGGGAAATTTTTTTAAAATTTCCTAAAAAAAGGAAATTTATAGAAAATTTCCTAAAAAAAGGAAATTTATGGAAAATTTCCTAAAAAAGGAAATTTATGGAAAATTTCCTAAAGAAGGGAAATTTTTTAAAATTTTCCTGAAAAAGGGAAATATATTGAAAATTTTCTTAAATAATGGAAATTTATTGAAAATTTCTTTAAAAGGAAATTTATTGAAAATTTCCTTAAAAGGAAATTTATTGAAAATTTTCTTAAAAGGAAATTTATTGAAAATTTCCTTAAAAGGAAATTTATTGAAAATTTCCTTAAAAGGAAATTTATTGAAAATTTCCTTAAAAGGAAATTTATTGAAAATTTCCTTAAAAGGAAATTTATTGAAAATTTCCTTAAAAGAAAATTTATTGAAAATTTCCTTAAAAGAAAATTTATCAAAAAATTTCCTTAAAAGAAAATTTATCAAAAAATTTCCTTAAAAGGAAATTTATCAAAAAATTTCCTTAAAAGGAAATTTATCAAAAAATTTCCTTAAAAGGAAATTTATCAAAAATTTCCTTAAAAGGAAATTTATCAAAAAATTTCCTTAAAAGGAAATTTATCAAAAAATTTCCTTAAAAGGAAATTTATCAAAAAATTTCCTTAAAAGGAAATTTATCAAAAAATTTCCTTAAAAGGAAATTTATCAAAAATTTCCTTAAAAGGAAATTTATCAAAAATTTCCTTAAAAGGAAATTTATCAAAAATTTCCTTAAAAGGAAATTTATCAAAAATTTCCTTAAAAGGAAATTTATCAAAAATTTCCTTAAAAGGAAATTTATCAAAAATTTCCTTAAAAGGAAATTTATCAAAAATTTCCTTAAAAGGAAATTGATCAAAAATTTCCTTAAAAGGAAATTTATTGAAAATTTCCTTAAAAGGAAATTTATTGAACATTTCCTTAAAAGGAAATTTATTGAAAATTTCCTTAAAAGGAAATTTATTGAAAATTTCCTTAAAAGGAAATTTATCAAAAAATTTCCTTAAAAGGAAATTTATCAAAAAATTTCCTTAAAAGGAAATTTATCAAAAAATTTCCTTAAAAGGAAATTTATCAAAAAATTTCCTTAAAAGGAAATTTATCAAAAAATTTCCTTAAAAGGAAATTTATCAAAAAATTTCCTTAAAAGGAAATTTATTGAAAATTTCCTTAAAAGGAAATTTATTGAAAATTTCCTTAAAAGGAAATTTATTGAAAATTTCCTTAAAAGGAAATTTATTGAAAATTTCCTTAAAAGGAAATTTATTGAAAATTTTTTTAAAAGGAAATTTATTGAAAATTTCCTTAAAATTAAATTTATTGAAAATTTTCTTAAAAGGAAATTTATCAAAAATTTCCTTAAAAGGAAATTTATCAAAAATTTCCTTAAAAGGAAATTTATCAAAAATTTTCTTAAAAGGAAATTTATCAAACATTTTCTTAAAATGAAATTTATCAAAAATTTCCTTAAAATGAAATTTATCAAAAATTTCCTTAAAATGAAATTTATCAAAAATTTCCCTAATGGGAAATTTATAAAAAATTTCCTTAAAGGGAAATATATCAAAAATTTCCTTAAAGGGAAATATATCAAAAATTTCCTTAAAGGGAAATTTATCAAAAATTTCCTTAAAGGGAAATTTATCAAAAATTTCCTTAAAGGGAAATTTATCAAAAATTTCCTTAAAGGGAAATTTATCGAAAATTTCCTTAAAGGGAAATTTATCAAAAATTTCCTTAAAGGGAAATTTATCAAAAATTTCCTTAAACATTTTCTTTAAACAGAAATTTATAAAAATAGTTCAGTTCAATTAAACAATCTGGCATCATTCTTAATCAAATACAGTGGTTTTGAAAGTTTCGCTAGTATTTGAATTTATTTACATATCAAATCAAATTTATTTTTATAAAAATTTAAAAGCGCGCCATTACCAGCTGCAGTTTTAAAACCAAAAACTATAGAAAATTTTAGTTCTAATTTTATAAAAAGACATAAAAACAAAAGCAACGGTCAATGCCAAAAATTTCTTAATAAAATTGAAAATTGTTTTATTGTTGTTAATGTTTAGAGACGTTAATGTTTTTTTGCGAACGAATGACAACAAACAAATCATAAGAAAGTGAATTTGTGTTTTCGCAATTAGTATTCAGTGAACATTTTAGCAAAATTACATCATAAGTGTTTTTTTGGCAAGAAATAAATGCATTTTTTATCTCAATTCTTTATCTTCTTTACTTTTATTTGTTTATAAATGAAATTGAAATTAAATTCAATTCAATTAAAATAAAAACATTAAAAGTGAAATTTGTTTGAAAATTTTCCTTTCATTCTTATTAAAATGCCTGCCCGGTCATGTTTATTTTATAGTTTGTAGTATATTTATTTGACATGTTCTAAAACTTTTTTTTAAGCTTCCAATAAAAATTTTAGTTTTTGTGTGAAAAAAAAAATTTATTACAAAACACTTTTACTTCAGCTACAATCTTTTTTTATAGTCAATAATATTTAGTGTTCGATCGTGCGGAAGTTTTGTAAATTGATTTTTGAAACGTGTGTGCTGTGCTGTCAATAGGTTTTGTAAATCTCAATATTTTCCATATGTAAATATACGTAAGAAAGTTTTTGTCGAGGTGTATGTTTGTGTGCTTTAGTTGCAAATTGATTTTTTTCTATTGCTTTTTTTTTTGCAAAACTAATTAATTTACAATATACCATAAATCGTTTAAAAAACACTTGAAATATTCATAGAAAAATTTAAAATATTTGTTTGTTTATTTTAAAAGAAATTATTTTTATTTCGAGAAATGTAAATTCTAGGGCAAAAAGCAAAAATATTATTAAATTTTATTACGAAATTCATTAAGACTTTTTATGTCATAAAGATAATGTTCGTGATTTAGTTCCGTTCTAGTTCTAGTTCAGTTCTAGTTCAGTTCTAGTTCAGTTCTGGTTCAGTTCTAGTTCAGTAGTCAGTTCTAGTTCAGTTCTAGTTCTAGTTCAGTTTAGTTCAGTTCTAGTTCAGTTCTAGTTCAGTTCTAGTTCTGTTCTAGTCTGTTCTAGTTCTGTCTAGTTTCTGTTCTAGTCTGTTCTAGTTCTGTTCTAGTTCTGTTCTAGTTCTGCTCTAGTCTGTTCTAGTTCTGTTCTAGTCTTTCGTTCTAGTTCTGTTCAGTTCTGTTCTAGTTATGTTCTAGTTCTGTTCAGTTCTGTTCCAGTTCTGTCCAGTTCTGTTCCAGTTCTGTTCTAGTTCTGTTCTAGTTCTGTTTCTAGTTCTGTTCTAGTTCTGTTCTAGTTCTGTTCTAGTTCTGTTCTAGTTCTGTTCTAGTTCTGTTCTAGTTCTGTTCTAGTTCTGTTCTAGTTCGTTCTAGTTCTGTTCTCTAGTTTGTTCTAGTTCTGTTCTAGTTCTGTCTAGTTGCTGTTCTAGTTCTGTTCTAGTTCTGTTCTAGTTCTGTTCTAGTTCTGTTCTAGTTCTGTTCAGTTCTGTTCTAGTTCTGAGTTCTGTTCTAGTTCTGTTCTAGTTCTGTTCTAGTTCTGTTCTAGTTCTGTTCTAGTTCTGTTCTAGTTCTGTTCTAGTTCTGTTCTAGTTCTGTTCTAGTTCTGTTCTAGTTCTGTTCTAGTTCTGTTCTAGTTCTGTTCTAGTTCTGTTCTAGTTCTGTTCTAGTTCTGTTCTAGTTCTGTTCTAGTTCTGTTCTAGTTCTGTTCCAGTTCTGTTCTAGTTCTGTTCTAGTTCTGTTCTAGTTCTGTTCTAGTTCTGTTCTAGTTCTGTTCTAGTTCTGTTCTAGTTCTGTTCTAGTTCTGTTCTAGTTCTGTTCTAGTTCTGTTCTAGTTCTGTTCTAGTTCTGTTCTAGTTCTGTTCTAGTTCTGTTCTAGTTCTGTTCTAGTTCTGTTCTAGTTCTGTTCTAGTTCTGTTCTAGTTCTGTTCTAGTTCTGTTCTAGTTCTGTTCTAGTTCTGTTCTAGTTCTGTTCTAGTTCTGTTCTAGTTCTGTTGTTCTAGTTCTGTTCTAGTTCTGTTCTAGTTCTGTTCTATTTCTGTTCCAGTTCTGTTCCAGTTCTGTTCCAGTTCTGTTCTAGTTCTGGTCTAGTTCTGTTCTAGTTCTGTTCTAGTTCTGTTCTAGTTCTGTTCTAGTTCTGTTCTAGTTCTGTTCTAGTTCTGTTCTAGTTCAGTTCTAGTTCTGTTCTAGTTCTGTTCTAGTTCTGTTCTAGTTCTGTTCTAGTTCTGTTCTAGTTCAGTTCTAGTTCAGTTCCTTAAAAAGATTAGTTAAAAATTGTTTGGCTCCTATATTAAATGTCTAAAACTTATTGTCTCTGAACTGTGACATTTTGTTTAAAACAATTTAAAATAACTTTTTAATTTATCACTAATGTATTCTTCTCTAACTCTTCTTTCTTTCCTTTACAGATCATTAATTAAACAACAACTACGTATAAGATTTTTTTCCCACAAACCAACAAAGAAAAGAAATTCCAAATCGACAAATTATAAAACAAACATCTCACAAGTAGAATCTAGAAAATACAGAAACAGAAAAGACAAAACGTTGCCAAAGAAAAAAAATAACATCAACTAAAAACAAACAAAATTTTTAAAAATTCAAGCCGAACAAAAAGAATTTTTACAATAAATACACCAAAAACTACAACAAAACATCTACGAAACTATTACAACATAATACGCTTATATATTCTTTAAAGTCAAATAGTCAGTCATTCTAACAGACAGTTAAACAAACAAACAGTCATTGCAGTCATATTAAAATAATTTAAATATTTTGTAGATAAAACATCCTAAAGATAAACCAAATCAACCAACCTTTACAGTTTATAAATAAATTAATGTAATTAGCAGAGAAAATAACAAACAAACAAACAAAGAAATCAATTGCGACAACTAAAATACTTCATTATAAATTATCACAGTGATATTTGTAACTATTTAACAACAATAACAACAACGACAAAACCACAAAAACAACAACAAAAATGCATATTGAAATACAAGTTGCATTAAATTTCGTCATTTCATATTTGTACAATAAACTGCCCAGGAGGCGTGTAAATATATTCGGTGAAGAGTTGGAAAAAGCATTACGAGATAAATTCCAAGGACATTGGTATCCTGAAAAGCCCTTCAAGGCAAGTTAATTCAAACTATATTAATTAAAACTTGTTTCCTTAAATTTAAACATTTATTATTTGTTCCTCATTTCAGGGTTCTGCATTTCGTTGCCTTAAAACAGGCGATCCTATTGATTCCGTTTTGGAGCGTGCCGCTCGCGAGAGTGGCGTGCCCATAACAGATATTCTAGAAAATCTTCCAAATGAACTGTCCGTATGGGTGGACCCCGGAGAGGTGTCGTATCGCATTGGGGAAAAGGGCTCCGTTAAGGTAGTTTTGCAAAACCTTTTACATTTCTACTCAAAATTTATTTCATATTTATACTCTTCTTTTTTATAGATTCTCTATTCCGAGAATAGCGACAATCAAGAGGATAACTCCTCTGCCGATGGAGAGGTTAATAAAACATTTAATCCTGAAGCTCAATGCTTTCGTCCCATCGATGCCGTTAACACGAGCATGAATAATTTGAGTTTAAGTCCCAAGACTTCGCCTCTGGCTGGTTCATCACCCTTATCGGCTTCTTCGAATTCTCCCACTTATAAGGGTAGTCCCAATCCGGTGGCTGCTGCTGTTCTAAATGGCGGTTCCTTTTTGCAACGTTCACAGGCACCATTGACTTTTACCACGGCCACATTTGCTCAAACGAAGTTTGGTTCAACCAAATTGAAGACAAACTCCAAAAGAACTAACAAGTAAGTCGCAGATTTCAAATTGATTTGAAATGAAGTTCAATTTGATTCTAGAACTGAACTAGAACTGAACTAACTGAACTAGAACTGAACTAGAACTGAACTAGAACTGAACTAGAACTGAACTAGAACTGAACTAGAACTGAACTATGAACTAGAACTGAACTAAACTGAAACTAGAACTGAACTAGAACTGAACTAGAACTGAACTAGAACTGAACTAGAACTGAACTAGAACTGAACTGAACTGAACTAGAACTGAAAACTGAACGACTAGAACTGAACTAGAACTGAACTAAACTGAACTAGAAACTGAACTAGAACTGAACTAGAACTGAACTAAACTGACTATACCTGAACTAGAACTGAACTAGAACTTGAACTAGAACTGAACATACTGAACTAGAACTGAACTAAAGAATCTGAACTAGAACTGAACGAGAACTGACTAGAACTGAACTAGAACTGAACTAGAACTGAACTAGAACTGAACTAGAACTGAACTATAAATGAACTAGAACTGAACTAGAACTGAACTAGAACGAACTGAACTGAACTAGACTGAACTAAACTGAACTAGAATCTGAACTAGAACTGAACTAAACTGAACTAGAACGAATAGAACTGAACTAAACTGAACTAGACTGAACTAGAACTGAACTAAACGAACTAGAACTGAAACTATAACGGAACTAGAACTGAACTAAAATGAACTAGAACTGAACTAGAACTGAACTAGAACTGAACTAGAACTGAACTAGAACTGAACTAGAACTGAACTAGAACTGAACTAGAACTGAACTAGAACTGAACTAGAACTGAACTAGAACTAGAACTGAACTAGAACTGAACTAGAACTGAACTAGAACTGAACTAGAACTGAACTAGAACTGAACTAGAACTGAACTAGAACTGAACTAGAACTGAACTAGAACTGAACTAGAACTGAACTAGAACTGAACTAGAACTGAACTAGAACTGAACTAGAACTGAACTAGAACTGAACTAGAACTGAACTAGAACTGAACTAGAACTGAACTAGAACTGAACTAGAACTGAAAGAACTGAACTAGAACTGAACTAGAACTGAACTAGAACTGAACTAGAACTGAACTAGAACTGAACTAGAAAAAAACTGAACTAGAACTGAACTAGAACTGAACTAGAACTGAACTAGAACTGAACTAGAACTGAACTAGAACTGAACTAGAACTGAACTAGAACTGAACTAGAACTGAACTAGAACTGAACTAGAACTGAACTAGAACTGAACTAGAACTGAACTAGAACTGAACTAGAACTGAACTAGAACTGAACTAGAACTGAACTAGAACTGAACTAGAACTGAACTAGAACTGAACTAGAACTGAACTAGAACTGAACTAGAACTGAACTAGAACTGAACTAGAACTGAACTAGAACTGAACTAGAACTGAACTAGAACTGAACTAGAACTGAACTAGAACTGAACTAGAACTGAACTAGAACTGAACTAGAACTGAACTAGAACTGAACTAGAACTGAACTAGAACTGAACTAGAACTGAACTAGAACTGAACTAGAACTGAACTAGAACTGAACTAGAACTGAACTAGAACTGAACTAGAACTGAACTAGAACTGAACTAGAACTGAACTAGAACTGAACTAGAACTGAACTAGAACTGAACTAGAACTGAACTAGAATGAACTACAACTGAACTACAGTTAACTTAAAATTAACTGAACTAAATTAATAAATTTTTGTCAATCCTCTTCCTTTGTAGCACTTCATATCGCATGTCCCCCACTGAATTCTCCAACTATATAAAACAACGTGCCATGCAGCAGCAACAAATCCATCACGGCCATGGACACTCACCCAATGGTAGCAGTGGACAACCTGGTAATCATTTCGGACCCATTGGTCCCGTCTCACCAGCACGTTCTCTATCGCCCAATCCCCTGTCATTGGGTTTGACTCAGAATGGTACTGCAGCTAATGGTGATCCCTTCTATTTTCCCAACATGGCCATGGGCATGTATCCACAGTTTAATAATCATCATCGTAATTTGTTCGATACACATTTTCATGCTGACAACAATGGTTTGTATGGTCATGGTAATAATGGTGTGGCTGGCCATGGTAAATTTAATAACTATTTGGAACCACATGGTTTCTATGGTATGGGTGCAGGTAATCATATGCCACCACACCAACAGCAACCACAATCACCCATTGGCCTGAATGGTCAACAGCAACAGCAGCAACAACAACATCCAGTGGGTGTTGTGGGTAATGCTGCGGGTAATATGAAAACTTCAAATGAAAATATAAGTAATAGTAGTGTTAATGCTAAGGAGAATGCGGGCAACAATAATAATGCTGCCAATATAACGGTAACCGTGACCAATGGCTCGGTTAATGGCTCCGAAAGTAATGGAGCCGTTAGTCCTATTCCATCAACAGGTTCGGCTACCGCCGCCAATCAAGCTACAAATACTGAAAGACAAAGTGCCGCTAATGCTGTAGCTGCTGTAGCAGCAGCTACTGTTGCTGCTGCCGCTTCCTCCACAGCTAATAGCAATAATTCTCAAGATTCTGGAAATAATGCTGCTGCTACAGCTGCCTCCAACTCGAAATTGATTGATGGTCTCAATTCATTCTATTCCAATACCACTGGCTCCTATCAACAATTATTAGTTGCCAATTAAAAATCACTTTTACACTCACAAAAACAAAGAGTCCTTTAAACCAAAAATATGAAAAAACCTAAAATAATAATTAAATTAAATGACACTAAAAATAATCACCATCTACAAAGAAAATAAGTAATTAATTAATAAAAAATGAATATCTCTCAAATAGAGTCTATAATAGTAAAACCAAAAACAAAAAGCAAAAATATTAATAATTAATTACAAATAATGAAAAAATAACGTACATTTAATAATAAATATACATACAATATATATTTTTTTAAACGCTTAAAAATTTAAAATAAAAACCAAAACACATTAGTTTAAACAAGGACTTAATTAAAAAAAAAAACAATTTGTATAAAATGTTTATCAACATCATTACAAAATTTTGCAAAAAAAAAACTCTTTTTTTTATTTTTTTACATTTATTTTTTTGTAACTAGTTGTAATTTTTTAGATCATTAATATTAGTAGAATGAAAACAAGTCATACAACAAGAAAAAACCAAAACATACAAAACAAAAAAGTATATATTTTTTCACTGTTAATTTTTATACACATTTTAAATACTATTTAATATTAAACAAATACAAACATGGTGAAAAACCAAATTTGAAAATAAAACCGAAATCTAATCTAAAACTAAATATACATACTAACAAAACAAAAACTTACATACCTAACACAATTACCCACAAAGGTTTAACTTTTAAGGTTCTGGTTTAACTTAGGTTTAACAGAAGTTTCTCTTTTAGAAATAACACAAAAGAGAAGAAATTTTCAGAGGATTCTTAAGAGGTCAACTAAAACTAAATTATCAGCATTTTTAAAACACCTTTTTCAAAATTTAAGTTCTAGTTTTAATCAAGTTCAGTTTTACTTCAGTTATAGTTAAGTTCTACTTCAGTTTTAGTTCAGTTCTAGTTCAGTTCTAGTTCAGTTCTAGTTCAGTTCTAGTTCAGTTCTAGTTCAGTTCTAGTTCAGTTCTAGTTCAGTTCTAGTTCAGTTCTAGTTCAGTTCTAGTTCAGTTCTAGTTCAGTTCAGTTCTAGTTCAGTTCAGTTCAGTTCTAGTTCAGTTTCTAGTTCAGTTCTAGTTCAGTTCTAGTTCAGTTCTAGTTCAGTTCTAGTTCAGTTCTAGTTCAGTTCTAGTTCAGTTCTAGTTCAGTTCTAGTTCAGTTCTAGTTCAGTTTACTTCAGTTATAGTTAAGTTCTAGTTCAGTTCTAGTTCAGTTCTAGTTCAGTTCTAGTTCAGTTCTAGTTCAGTTCTAGTTCAGTTCTAGTTCAGTTCTAGTTTCAGTTCTAGTTCAGTTCTAGTTCAGTTCTAGTTCAGTTCTAGTTCAGTTCTAGTTTCAGTTCTAGTTCAGTTCTAGTTCAGTTCTAGTTCAGTTCTAGTTCAGTTCTAGTTCAGTTCTAGTTCAGTTCTAGTTCAGTTCTAGTTCAGTTCTAGTTCAGTTTCTAGTTCAGTTCTAGTTTAGTTCTAGTTCAGTTCTAGTTCAGTTTAGTTCAGCTTTAGTTCAGTTCTAGTTTAGTTCTAGTTCCTAGTTCAGTTCAGTTCTAGTTCAGTTCTAGTTCAGTTCTAGTTCAGTTCTAGTTCAGTTCTAGTTCAGTTCTAGTTCAGTTCTAGTTCAGTTCTAGTTCAGTTCTAGTTCAGTTCTAGTTCAGTTCTAGTTCAGTTCTAGTTCAGTTCTAGTTCAGTTCTAGTTCAGTTCTAGTTCAGTTCTAGTTCAGTTCTAGTTCAGTTCTAGTTCAGTTCTAGTTCAGTTCTAGTTCAGTTCTAGTTCAGTTCTAGTTCAGTTCTAGTTCAGTTCTAGTTCAGTTCTAGTTCAGTTCTAGTTCAGTTCTAGTTCAGTTCTAGTTCAGTTCTAGTTCAGTTCTAGTTCCGTTCTAGTTCCGTTCTAGTTCAGTTCTAGTTCAGTTCTAGTTCAGTTCTAGTTCAGTTCTAGTTCAGTTCTAGTTCAGTTTTAGTTCAGTTCTAGTTCAGTTCTAGTTCAGTTCTAGTTCAGTTCTAGTTCAGTTCTAGTTCAGTTCTAGTTCAGTTCAGTTCTAGTTCAGTTCTAGTTCAGTTCTAGTTCAGTTCTAGTTCAGTTCTAGTTCAGTTCTAGTTCAGTTCTAGTTCAGTTCTAGTTCAGTTCTAGTTCAGTTCTAGTTCAGTTCTAGTTCAGTTCTAGTTCAGTTCTAGTTCAGTTCTAGTTCAGTTCTAGTTCAGTTCTAGTTCAGTTCTAGTTCAGTTCTAGTTCAGTTCTAGTTCAGTTCTAGTTCAGTTCTAGTTCAGTTCTAGTTCAGTTCTAGTTCAGTTCTAGTTCAGTTCTAGTTCAGTTCTAGTTCAGTTCTAGTTCAGTTCTAGTTCAGTTCTAGTTCAGTTCTAGTTCAATTCTAGTTCAGTTCTAGCTCAGTTCAGTTCTAGTTCTATTTTGATTCTGTTTTAGTTCTGTTCAAGATTCAATATCTTGATATCGGCGATAGTAAATTTCCGAAGAAAGCTGTTTTTAGTGTCTTCCTTTCCCGATTTTTGCGTATCTAACTTTAAGAAGAGAATATTCAATATTTTTTAAATTGTTCGCGTCTTTCTTCTCGTAAAAAAATCTGCCAAACACGAAGTAATCATCTAGTCAATCAAGCTTTGTTTTAAAACTTTTTTTAAGTATAAAGTAATTATGATTTCGTTAAAAACTATATCTCTAGATAAAGCTACTCCTAACTTTCCAAAAAGAACGTTAAGACAAACGTAATCTGTTGGTTCTCTGATTTTTGCTTTAGCGCATCCAATTTTTGCCAATCTGAAGATGACATTCTAGACGGTCTCGTAACGGAATCAATATTATATAGATTTCGATATAAGAGTTTTATTTGAAACCATTTAAAATCGTAAGACTTCTATTGTTACTTTCTATTAAAGCGAATTCATTGGAAAAATTAGATCTTAATTAAGCAACAAAATTATGGTTTTTGTAATTTTCAAATCAGTTCGTTTCTGAGTTCGTATTTACTGCTCTTCTACTAGAAAACTAGTTACTTCTTCAGGTTAAAAATTTAGCAAAACTTTTGAAACTATAATTTAAACTAGAACTTTAAAAGTGAAACCCTGCTTTAAAGCTAAAATTAACAGCGCCATTCATAACAACTAAAGTCAAAAGTATCTTTACGATTTTGACTATATTATTTAGAAAATTCTCCCCTTAATTAATTTAATAAACTAATTAATTAAACTAATTTTAAATAATTTTGTTACGTTTTTTTTATATAAACATTAAAATCTTTTAAAAATTCTATGTTAAATATGAAGGAAAATATTTTGTAATTTTATTATCTTTAAAGTTAAAATGTTTTTTTTTTTATACATCACTAAATACCTAAGTACATCATGCATAATTATATAAATGATCCTATAAATAATATTAATATTAAATATATATAATATATTTTTTTACTGTTACTATTATTTCTCTTGTTAAATATTTTTTATATTATATTGATGTTATATATCTATGAATATTATCTCGCCCCCTTCCCCCCAGATTTTTAGCTTTTTGTAGTAGAATTTTTTTATAAAAACAATTTAAAATGCCCCTTAATAAATAATAATAATTTAATATTAACATTATGATTAATAAATAATTACCTTTAAAAGTGAATAATATTTAACTTAAATATAAAATTCGTTCATATCTCTTTGTTAATTTACTTGCAAACAATTAGTCAAATTTAATTTAATAATTTTTATTTTTTTATACATCATAGTTAAAGAACTAAATGCGATTAATTTTACATAAATACCTATTATTAAACATTTGTATTGTTTTACAAATGTTGTTTGTTAATTTTTTTATAATTATTTTTTTTTTTTACTTTAAAAGTTTTGTAATTTTTATGCTAATTTTTACACTACACCTACATATTAATATAATTTTTATTGATTTTTTTTAATTGTGTTTATTATATTACAATAACTACCATTATTTTTGTATTTGTTAAATATTTTTTTAATTATTATTATTAAAAAAACAAATCATTTTTTATGTAGAACATTTTTATACTTTTTATACATGCTTATTATCAATAATGAATAAATTGCAGAATAAAAAACAACAAAAAAAAACAAATGTTTATTTTTTATATTTAAATAAAATTTATAAAAATCAACAAAAAAAATTAAATAAAGAAAAAAATCATGCAAAATTTTCTTTTATCACTGTTATATTTTTGCAATAAAAACAATTTATAATTATTTATGTGTTTTTTATTTATTTAAGGCGTTTAGTTTTGTTTTTTTACTTTTGTTTAATTATGAACATTAATTGCTTCTATTAAAATGTTATTACAATTTAAAATGTGTTATTTGAAACTTTAAAACATTGATTACAATAAACGCGATAGACTACAAGCGACAATTGCTTAAATTTGACACCGACTAATAGAGTATTTCAAACAGATCAAATTACTAAATCACTTGTTTACTTCTAGTTCAGTTCTAGTTTAATACAAGTTCAGTTCTAGTTCAGCTCTAGTTCAGTTCTGGTTTAGTTCTAGTTCAGGTCTAGTTCAGTTCAGTCAGTTCTAGTCAGTTCTAGTTTCTAGTCTAGTTCAGTTCTAGTTCAGTTCTAGTTCTAGTTCAGTTCTAGTTCAGTTCTAGTTCAGTTCTAGTTCAGTTCTAGTTCAGTTCTAGTTCAGTTCTAGTTCTAGTTCAGTTCTAGTTCTAGTTCAGTTCTAGTTCTAGTTCAGTTCTAGTTCAGTTCTAGTTCAGTTCTAGTTCAGTTCTAGTTCAGTTCTAGTTCAGTTCTAGTTCAGTTCTAGTTCAGTTCTAGTTCAGTTCTAGTTCAGTTCTAGTTCAGTTCTAGTTCAGTTCTAGTTCAGTTCTAGTTCAGTTCTAGTTCAGTTCTAGTTCAGTTCTAGTTCAGTTCTAGTTCAGTTCTAGTTCAGTTCTAGTTCAGTTCTAGTTCAGTTCTAGTTCAGTTCTAGTTCAGTTCCAGTTCAGTTCCAGTTCAGTTCTAGTTCAGTTCTAGTTCAGTTCTAGTTCAGTTCTAGTTCAGTTCTAGTTCAGTTCTAGTTCAGTTCTAGTTCAGTTCTAGTTC